GTTCCCCCTGGGGGGTGATTTCTCGCTTTCTGTCTGTCTGTCTCTGTCTCTCTGGTGAGCACATGCACCTTATAGCAAAAACCTTTCCAAAAAAAAACAAAACATGGTAATGCTACCCAAAGTATTCTACAGAGCCAGTGCAATTTCTATCAGAATCCCAACTCCCCCTCCTCTTTTTTTAATTTCAGAGATGGAAACAGTGATTTAAAAATTTGTGTGGGGGGACCAGCAGATGGCATAATGGTTACATCACTAGTCTCCCACATAGTCAACTGTGGTTCGAGTCCCGGACCCAGCAGAATAAAACTCATGCCAGGCATGTGTGCATATGTACCCAGAATCCCAAAAGGAGAATGGAGGAGAAGGGGTTGAAATGTGTCCATTCCCCTGGGAGGTGATTTCTCATTTTCTGTCTCTCTGATTCTCAGGCAAGCACAAGTGCCTATAGTAAAAATCTCTCAAAAACTTGTGTGTGTGTCTGTGTGAGTATCTGTGCATGTGTGTGTGCATGTGTGTGTGTGTGTGTGTGTAATGCGAGAGACTCAAAATAGCTAAAACAATCTCTTTTTTTTTAGAACATCTTAAATTTTTAATGCTTTCTTTACAGGTTACCTAGACCACTTTTGATTAAGAAAACTGTAGAAAGTTAGTAACTGCCACGAGCGAACACCAGGTGGTGGCACATGTCAATTTTCCACAGAGTCCTGCTTTGCGGGGTGTCTGAGTGCCCTGCGCCAGGTCTCTGCTCACACTTGCTGGAATCAATCATGGCAGATTTTAGTCCACAGGTCACTTTTCTCCATATTTCTTTGTAAACATGTCGGCGTTCTTACAGAATTTTTTATAGTATTCTTCAGCTAAGTCAGCTGGAGGGGGTGCTTGGGCTGGGGGGTCGTTCACCAGTGTTATGAGGGACTGGATTACTTGGTCAGCTTTGGTTGCTAGCTTCCAGTTTTCAGCACTAATTACTGGCAGACAGACCCACCCCTTTTCATCAATGTTGGTGTGATCTTTGTTTTAAATGTGATCTTCGGTGGTTTGAATGGGTACACTGCTGGAAAGTTGATTTCAATTCTGAAGGTCCCTTTGTCATATGGAGGGTTGTCAGGAACAGTAAGCCCAAGCCAAGTCACTAAATTAACTTCATCAACCTGGATGTTACAGAAGTTTTTCATTCCACATTTGAGGATTTCTTCAAGCTCCTTCATCAGCCTCCTGTTGGCCGCCATCTTGGATCTGGTGGTGCTGCTGCTTTTCCACTAAAACAGTCTTTAAAAGGCAGAATAAAGTTGGAGAACTATCACTTCCTGATTTCAAAACCTACTAATACTATAAAACTATAATAATTAAAACAATGTGGTACTCACATAAGCATAAATGGTGATCAATGGGAAAGAATTAAATTATAGAAATAAAACCATATGTATATAATCAACTGAGTATGTACCAAGATCATTTGATGAAGAATAGTTTTTCAATAGGGAACCAGCAGGTAGCGTAATGGCTATGTCGCTGGACTCCCACGTAGTCGACCGCGGTTCGTGTCCCGGACCCGGTGGCTTAAAACTCACGCCGGGCGCGTGTGCGTGCGTGCCCAAGATCCTGAGAGGAGAATGGAGGAGAAGGGATTGCTGCGTGACCATCCCCCCTGGGGGGTGATTTCTTGCTTTCTGTCTCTATGTCTCTCTCTGTGTCTGGCGAGCGCACGCGCCCTACAGTGAAAATCTCTCAAAAAAAAAAAAATGCTTGTGCAACTCAGTATCAATATCCATATGCAGAAGAAAACAAAGTTGGATTCCTACCTCACATTGATATAGACAGATTAACTCAAAATAGATCAGACATAAAAATAAGAGCTGATGGGGCCAGCAGATGGTGTGGTGGTTAAGGCACCAGACTCCCACATGACCTACCCACAGTTTGAGTCTTGGACTTCTCCCACATGACCTACCCACAGTTTGAGTCTTGCTCTTCAGGGCTTGCTTTCTCACTTTCCCTCTCTCTCTGGTCACATTTTTAAAAATAATATTAATAATCATAAATAAAATTAAATAAATCTTTAATTATGAAAGAGCTTAAAATATAAAACTCTTAGAATAAACACAAGGGGAAATTTTCATAACCTTGGATTTGGCCATGGATTCTTGGATATGAAACCAAAAACACATATGACAAAAGAAAAACAGGAAAATTGAAGTATCAAAGTTTAAAATTTTTTCATTCAAAGAGCATAATTAAAAGTATGAAAAGGCAAGGTACAGGGGCCAGAAGGTGGCATGATTGTTAAGGACACTAGACTCCTACATGGCTGACCGCAGTTCAAGTCCCAGGCCTGGCAGTTTGTTTTCTCACTTTCCGTCTTTCTCTCTCTCCCTCTGTCCCTCCCTTGTGAAATTAAAAATAAATATATAAAGAATTATTTTTAATTAAATTCTATTTATTCATTCATTTATTTTAATTTGACCAGAGAGAGACAGAGGGAGAGAGAGAAAGACGGAAAGTGAGAAAACAAACTGCCAGGCCTGGGACTTGAACTGCGGTCAGCCATGTAGGAGTGTCCTGCACCTTAACCACCATACCACCTGCTGGTCCCAGAAATAAATATATAAATAAATGAAGTTAAATAAAGTAATTATTTTAAAAAAAGAAAAAAGGCAAGCTACAGGATGAGAAAATATTTTCAGATTATATATATAACAATCTAGTATCCAGAATACATAAGGAACTCTTGTGGGCTAGTCCCATGGCCAAATGGTTGAGAGAGTCAACCACATGGTTTGAATCCCTACCCCAGCAAACTGGAAAAACATGCTGTACATGTGTATATGCGTAGACCAAATTCTGACAGTATGGCGAAGTGGAGAAGGGATTACAGTGTGACCACACTGCATGGGTGTTCATGACTTTGACATTTTTAAAGAATCGGGCCATTTATTTTACAGAATACCCTTCAATTAGGGTTTGTCTTCAGTTCTCTCATGCTGAGTTTTGGTTATGCACTTTTTTGCAGGGATACCCCAGAAGTCGTGCTGTGCCTTCATATTGCATTATATCAGGAGGCCCATGATACTCTTTCTCCCATTACTGTGATGTTAACTTTGGTCTCTTGGCTAGGGTGTATCTAACTGAATCACATCACTTAAATTTACTATTACTCCCTTTGTAATTAGTAAATATCCTATGGGGAGAGATCTTGAGACTGTGTAAAAGTCCTGTTTCTCATCAACCTTTTGCCCACTAGCTTTAGTATCTATTCATACTTTTCTCTTAAATAGTACTGTGGTTTTTGTCTAATGGGATTTTCTAGTTCCATTACTTCACCTACATTAAGTAGTTGGTGTTCTGTTAAGGAGAGTTTTCCAGGACCAGCAGTTAGCGTAATGGCTGTCGCTGGACTCCCACATAGTCGACCGTGGTTCGCGTCCTGGACCCGGTGGCTTAAAACTCACACTGGGCGCGTGTGCATGCGTACCCAAGATCCCAAGAGGAGAATGGAGGAGAAGGGATTGCGGCGTGGCCATCCCTTTCTCTCTCTGTCTGGCGAGCACACGCGCCCTATAGCAAAAACCTCTCAAAAAAAAAGGAGAGTTTTCCCTTTTTTCCCACTTAGGATCCTGGACTCTTACTTTTGTCTGTTACCATCATTCATTTTTAAGGCTCAAATTGTCTCAGATTTGGCCAATAAGAGTATATTCATGCTGGGTCCTGTACTTTTGACCTATCTCCTCATTGTTTGAGTACTTCCAGCTATTGACAAAACCAGATGTTCCAGGCTTGTCTTGTACCTTCCCTGGTTCAACCTTGTAATCAGCTATAGCTTCGAAGAGCACTGTTCCTTTTTATGGACACTGAAACCAGGGCTTGGAGTCTATCTGTACTCACTGTGGTAGCTATTATGGGAGGGACCAAAAGCTGACCCTTTACTTAATGGAACTTTAGAATCGTTTATTAAAACTTCGTTTCTTTTGCTATACAGAATATGAAAATATTGAAAAAATTATACTCTCACCCACATCCTTGTACCAAATGTGTGTGTGTGTGTGTGTTTTACACCTTCTTATCTGTTTTGTGCTGCTATAACAGAACACGTGAGACTGAGTGATTTATACAGAACCGAGATTTACTTCTTACCATTCTCAAGGCTGGAAAGTCCAAGATCCAGGGGCCAACACCTGGTGAGGGCAGGAGAACAAGAAAGGGTGAGGGAGAGAGCAAGAGGGGGCTGACCTCATCCTTCAAAAAAAAAATATTCCCACTTACGTAATAACCAACCCACTCTCATGATAGTGGCTCTGTCCTCATGGCCTAATCACTTGTTAAACGTCCCACCGCATGTTGAGGGTTGGCTTTCCAGTACATACGTTTTGGAGAACACATCCAAACCACAGCAGCTTCTTTCTGTTCCACATAGAAATAATGCAAGCATATGTCATGTCCCTCGTACCTTTATTTTTTCACTGATACTAAACATTTCCTTACACTGCTACAGGAATTCAGTCCTCTCCCTTTTTTTAAAAAAAAATAGATTTTTGCTATAGGGCATGTGAACTTGATGAAGAGACAGAGAGACAGAAAGCAAGACATTATACCCCTCAGGGGCAATGGACATACCACAATTCCTTCTCCTTCACTCTTCACTCTCCTCTCAGGATCTTGGGCATGCACACACATGTGCCCGGTATGAGCTTTTTCGATTTTTGCTTTTTGGGTTTTCTTTTTTTTAGTTTTTGCTATAGGGTATGTGCACTTGCCAGGTAGACAGAGACAGAAAGCAAGAAATCACCCCCAGGGGAGGGATGGCCATGCAGCAATCTCTTCTCCTCCATTCTCCTCTTGGGATCTTGGGCACACATGCATGCACGTGTACCCAGTGTGAGTTTAAGCTGCCAGGTTTGGGACTTGAACCGCGGTCAACTACATGGGAGTCCAGCGATGTAACCATTATGCCATCTGCTGATCCCCAATCTTCTCCCCTTAAAGGGCTGTCCATGATTCCATTGAGCTGCTGTGGCCAGTACACTAAATCCTTCCTTCTGCATTGTGGGTATGTAGGTGGGTGCTAGGTTCTAGCTATTAAGAGATAGTACTGAAAAAAGTCTAGCATCTACGATTTTGCTTTGGTTGAATTTTATTTCTTCAGATAAATTCCCAGAAGTCAAAAAATATAAGGAAAAATAAAAGATATGACAGTGTATTTCCCTAATGGTCTTTTCTACATTTAAGCCTTCACATTTTTCTCCTTCATGGATGCCCGGAGCTCCAACTGTGGTTGGGAGTTTTCCTTGATCATCATCAGAGTAAAAAAATAATTGCCAACCAGGCGCCAGGTTCTATGTTATGTAGTTAACGGGTGTGTACTTGTGTGCTGACGTGTGTGTTCTAAATTTTACAATTTTTTAAAGAATTATTTATTTAATTTTATTTATTAATTTATTATTATTATTATTATTCAATTTGATCAGAAACACAGAGAGAGTGAGAAAGTAAGATGCCAGGTCCAGGACTCAAACTATGGTTGGCCACTTGGGAGACCAGCACCTTAATCACCATGCCACCTGTTGGCCCCTAATCTTCTCATTTTTACAACAAATGTACAAGGTAAGCCGTAAGAGGCCAAGAGATTAAGGGGTTTGGCCATTGGCAAATGACTGACATTTCAACCTGAAGTTTTTCTTGCTCCGAAACCTTTGAATTGGCCCATGTTAAAGCATCCCACAGTCCATGACATGTTTGCTGGGTTTCCCACACTTCCTTCCCCTATGTAGGACATATCTCCCATTCGTCTTCAAGCATAAGTCTACTGCTTCTGGGATCTGACCCTGTTCATCCTAATTTTAAAGGGCAAGGTTCTGCTGCTGAGGGGAATTATGGGTGGAATAGTCATTAATTGAAGGACCAAGTCTAAGACTTGCTAATTAATTTTCAACCCTAGGGAAACCTCCAGTAGAGAAGGCAGACTTCATATATGAGTATCAAAAATTCCAAAACACAGTCCAAATATAACATGTCTAAATGAGACTGAAGTTTATATCTCTCTTACATTGCCCAGAGGCAATGCATTTTGCCCTAATGCATTTTACTGGTTAATTAGGAGCATGGACTCCAATTCAAGAACAGCTATAATTCCTACGAGTTGTATAATTCGGGGCTACAGATTCTGTGGGCCTCTGTTTTCCCACCTATGTAATAAGGATGAATAGTGTCTTACTTAAGAGAGGTTTTGCGGTGATTATATTATTCCATGTACTATGTATAGGGCAGCATGTGGTACATCTTGGATAATCAGTAAATATTAACTCATTGTTGGCTTTAGTCACCAACAGTTTAATATTTTTGCCACTGATGTGGATGAAGAATTGAAGGGAGTGGCCAAAACTACATGCTGTCTCCCAATATCCCTCCTTTCAGTGCTTGATGGGAACAGTCATTGATTTATTTTTTCTTTAAGGTTTTTGCCATAAGGCACATGAACTTGCTGGAGAGAGATAGAGAAACAATGAGAGGGAGATTGAGAAATCACCTCCCCACCTCCAGGGGAGATGGCCATACTGCAATCCCTTCTCTTCCATTTTCCTCCTGATATTTCAGGTGCACACGCACACGTGCCTGGCATGAGTTTCAAGCCACCAGGTCTGGGACTCAAACCACTGCTGATCATGTGGGAGTCCAATGCCTTGACACCATAGCACTTTCTGGCCCCTAGTTGTTTGAGTTTTAAATACACATTCAACCTCCCTGAACAAAGATGTTTCCCAGCCACCATTGAAGTTAAGATGTGACCATTTGACTCAATTCTGGCCAGTGAAATGTTAAGTAGAAATGACATGTAATTACAAGAAAGTGTCTTTAAAAGGATACTGCCCTTTCCTCTCTTTCTGCTTGTCTGCTGACTAGAATTCAAACATGATGGCAAGAGGTTCGGCAGCAATCCTGGATAATGAGGCAACTTGATACTGGAAGACACGTATAATGAAACGCTAAGAGAGAAGGTGCCTAAACCCCTGGCACTGGGCTGACAACCTCAAGACTTTTTGAATAAATTGCCTATGGTAGCAATTGTTATATAGAGATTTTCCGTTATAGCTGATTCCAGTCCTAACGAATACCAAAGGTATAACACACTTTCAGAAGACTTAGCGGTATAAACACTGTCCATAGAGTTCATTGGGTAGCAATCAGAGCTCAGGATCAAGGGACTGACTCTGACAGCTTGGAGTTAAGCAGTGATAATGTCAAGTGCTTCCTTGAGCCCATAAAACCAGCCTTGGCGATGGCCAAATGAGGTTAATATGGCTTGGGGGAATCTTCTGAATGGAGTAAGTTTTATAAAAGAGAAGACAGAATTCCTGTCACAGGATAGGTGCTCAGTGATGTGTCTCCCTCTTTCCTCTATCTTTACCTCACAAGCGTTTTAACCCAAGGCATACTTTGTGTGAATTGGTAGTGGGATGTTTCAGTTGAGGATATTTTTGGCTCTTTTCATGGCATAGTGTCCAGGAGGAAGGCGATGACTCGGCATTGCTTTTTATAGGCCAATCTGTATCTGGAATATAAACAAATATGAGTGTTTTCAGAAACAAGCCTGGAAAAAAACATCTACTGGGCAAAAGATATCTCGGAGTGGCAAAAAGAAAAATGATTGCTATACTCAAAAATCTGAAGAGAAGTTATAGAAAATAATAATAAAAAAAAATGGGTTCCTGTAATTTTGTCTTATGCCCCTAAAGGAGTCTAAAGGTTGGAAATAGAGATTTCTGTTTCATCAGTCAATTAACTTTTATTAATCACCTGATATTATCAGGCTGTGACAATGACTGCTAATTACCCTACTCAGTATCTATTCTGCCCTTCACCCTCATGAATATAACCCGCATGCCATTTTGAACAGCAAAGAGCCTAAAATACCCACTTTCCAAAATGTCCTTGAAGCTCGAGATAGCCGTGACACAGTTCTGGCTACTGAGAGGTAAACAGAAGTAAAACAGATTACCAAGAAAGTGTGGTCTTCCTGATACAGGTGCCACCATTCTCCTGGATGTCCTCCACTTTGGCCTCTCTTGAGTGCAGATGTGATGCATGGAACAGCAATAATCTTATAAGCATGAACAAAGCCGCACACTGAAGACGGCAGAACTAAACGGCAGACAGAGCCTATTTCCTGGAGAATAGGCGAGCTGCCTTTCTTCCTAGCTCATAGTTACAAGTGAGGAATGAATCCCTCCCTTATTGAAGCCACTAACAAGTTTCTGTTAAATGCAGCTGAGATATAGCCCTAACCCAGGCACTATGTGAAGTCCTAACGGGAGAAATGCTTTCAGGAGGAGCCACTGGTCTTTCCTGTTTATCAGACATTATGCAAGGATATTTCCTAAAAACTGGAACAGTCCCAAGATGAACTTAGCTCCGAGGGAAGAAGGGGTCTTCCTGATTCTAGAGAAAGGCAGGCAGAGGCTGGGCTACTTGTGCAGCTGGGATGGTAAGCAGTACTGAACACAGAGCGGAAGGTTGATTTGGTGACCTTTAAAGTTCAATCTAGACACAAAATGTTTCTAATGGTCAAAAACTTAAAAAAAAAAAATCTAATGAACTCAGGGCTTACTAAGTTTTGTCCACTGGATGGATAGATAGTATTTTTTAGCTGCTTGATTTTTATTAAAGTCGGTAAGAATGCATGCAGTCTTCCTCCACTTCCCTGGATACCTAGTTCATGGCAGTTTTAAACTTCTAAAGGAATTTGCATTTCTGTTTTGTTTGTAGCAATATAATTCATCCCATTTGTTTATTACTGGGATTTTTATTTGTCTTAGATTTACAAAGTTAACAAGGTAATCAAACATAGCAGCATTTTGATAGTCACATCCTAATGAATTTATTATTTTTGTCTCTGTTTAAAGCCATGGTAATAAGATTTATTCCCATCTATGTTTTTTAAAGTATTTGCCCTAGGTACTAGTCATTTGGGACCAATTTATTGGCAGAATTTCTGTAAATTTATGAATGTTCTTGTGATGGAAGCCCAGTTTTGAGATGGAGTGGCCATAAGACAGGAAAGTACTGGATTCTAGGATTGATTTCTTGACAGTGGTCTCCCACGTAAGACACTGCATAACTCTCAAGTGCATAACTTTCCGCAGGTGCAAGTGGTAACTGGTGAGCCGTCGAGAGCTCAATAGATACTTGTTGAATGTGTGAGTAAACGAGTTCCTTCAAAGCCTGTATGTCTCTTTTTTTTTTTCTTTTGAGAGATTTTCGCTATAGGGCGCGTGCACTCACCAGACAGAGAGAGACATAGAGACAGAAAGCGAGAAATCACCCCCCAGGGGGGATGGTCACGCCGCAATCCCTTCTCCTCCATTCTCCTCTCGGGATCTTGGGCATGCACGCACAAGCACCCGGCGTGAGTTTTAAGCCA